AGCAGGGAGCCCAATGCGGGACTCGATCCAGGGACTCCAGGATCATGACCTGAGCCGAAGGCAGTCGCTTAACCAACTGAACCACCCAGGCGCCCACATCTTAACCATTTCTAAGTGTAAGTGTACAGTTCAGTAATTTTCAGTATATTCACATTGTTGTAAAACAAATCTTCAGAACTTTTTCATCTTGCAAATAGGAAACTCTATACCCACTAAACAAGAAATCCCCTTTTCCCCCTCCCCCAATGCCTGGTAACCACCATTATACTTTCTGTTTCTATGAACTTGACTACTGTAGATACCTCATAGAAGTGGAATCATACATTATTTGTCATTTTGTGACTGGCTTATTTCATTTAACATAATATTCTCAAGGTTTATCCATGTTATAGCATTTCCTTCCTTTTTAAGCCTGAATAGCATTCTGTTCTATTTTGTTTAACCATTATCCCTCAGTGAACATCTGGATTGCTTCTACCCCTTGACTCTTGTGAATAATGCTGCTATGAACATAGATTTACAAATATCTCTTTGACCCCTGCTTTCAATTCTTGTGGATATATGCCCACAAGTAGTATTGTTGGATTAAATGCTAGTTCAATTTTTAATTTTTTGAGGAACTGCCATGTTTTCCATTGTGGATGCACCATTTTACATTCTCACCAACAGTGAACAATGATTCCAATTTCTTCACGTCCTTTCCAGCACTTCTTTTTTCTTTTCTTTTCCTTTCTTTCTCCCTTCCTCCCGTCCTTTCCATCCTCCCTCCCTCCCTTTTTTCTTTGTAATCATCCTAATGGACATGAGGTGATATCTCATTGTGGTTTTGTTTTGCATTTCTCTGATGATTAGTGATGTTGAGCATCATTTCACCTCTCATCTCCTTGGTTAGGTTTATTCCCAAGTATTTTATTCTTTTTGATGCTATTGTTGTTAGTGTATAGAAACACAACTGATTTTTGTGCATTGATTTTGTATCCTGCAACTTTGCTGAATTCCATTGTTAGTTGTAATAGGTATTTCTTAATTTTTGCTTTTTTAATTTTTTTTTATTGAAGTATAGTTATGTTCTAGTAGGTTTTTTTCTCTAGTAGTTTTCTTATGGAATATTAGGGTTTTCTACCTATAAGATGATGTCATTTAATAATAGAGATAATTTTACTGCTTCCTTTCTAATTTGGATGCCTTTTATTTCTTTTTCTTGCCTATCTGCTAGGACTTCCAACATAAGGTTGAATAGAACTGTAGAACTGGCCAGAGTGGGCATCCTTGGAAAAGCTTTCAGCCTTTCACTAGTATGATGTTAGCCATGAGATTTTCATGGATGGTCTTTATTATGTTGATGTCATTTCCTTCTAATTCTAGCTTGAGTGTTTTTATCATGAGAGTGTAGAATCTTGTCAAATGCTTTGTCTGCATTGATAGAGATGATCGTGTTGTTTCACCCTTCATTTTGTTGTGGTTGTGTATTACATTGATTGGTTTTCCTATGTTGAACCATTCTTGGATTCCTGGAATAAAGCCCACTTGGTCATGGTGTATAATCCTTTTAATGTGCTCTTCAATTTTAAAGTACTAGCACCACGCCCATCTTCTCTGTATTGTTCAAATTTTAGTATACGTGCTGCCAAAGAACTCCTGTGGCTTTATTTTTTAAATGGGGCATAATGTACTTTGAATTCCATGATGTCCTTTGCATTTCAGTTACCAAATGAGTAAATGTCTCAAAGAGCAAGAATTCTTTTCCATGCTCGAAACATTGACAAAAATTAAGACACACTTGGTGGTTCATCTCATTGTTTCCTTTGCAGAAATGGCATCACCTACTACATAATATACCTCAATTGTAATGTCGGAAAGTGACTGCCTCTTTGGAAGGTGCTCTGTAACAATGTGACCCATGGAAATCATCCGGATTTGCAGATTCTAGGAAACCCTATGAAACTTGTTTGTAAATATAGGCAAATTGTTTAAAATAAAGGAGTATGAATAAGATGTACCGGGAATTCAGTTCTTCTACGGACTCAATAATTCAACCTCTAGGGTACTTAAAACACAGCCCCTCCTGGTAGTAATGTGCGGAGTGTGTGGAGCATAGCGGTGGATTCATTTTTTCTGCCTGAGGAGAGATTCGAACATAAACGCCGAGTACTCGGGACCATGAAGGGCACAATTCTTTGGAGAAAAGTTCCAGGGACCACACAATTGTCAGCTAACAACAGCTACGGGGAATTTCTGCTTCTGTGTCACAACTCATCGGAAAAGGAAAATGCACAGTTCACTTATTTAACAGGTGTTTACATTACCTAGGCATGTGTCAACTTCCGGGAAGCGTCCTGCCAGATGTAGCCCAGACAGGGAGCAAACGAGGAAGAGAATCTCTCCACAGGGCGCGGGTCCGAGATAGAAGCTGGAGGAGGAAACAAAACCGAAACGCCCAACTGAGAAAAACGCAGCACCTGCTAAAGAGATCGACCCTCGCCGTCTGCTCAGGTTCTGCGGCTGCGCCCTGAGCAGCGCTTCGGCGCCCGTGATGGCGCACGCTCCCTGAGCTGCAGGGCGCCCCGCACTCGCATCAGCGCCTGCGCAGCCGTAGTTTCTCCTCACGCGATTTCACTCCCGCCCCCTGTCAGGGTATTGTTGGCTCCTCAGGGACTGGGGTGGGATACGATGTAGCATCAGCTGTGTGGTACTTGCCAGTTACTCGATAGGCGGTGCTCTGGCCTAGAAAAAAAGGTGAATTCACAGACTTTTTTTAACGCATTGTTTTTTGAGATGCTCGGACTGCACCCTCTCTCCTGCCGCTGCTGTCCGAGAAGCATCTGGAAGCTAGCCCTGGGGGAATTTTAATCTCGTTTGGAAGCAGACCCGCCCAGCAGTTCTGTTTATCTAGGAACGCCCGGGAGGTGATGGACACCTCAGAAATATCCCTTATTTGTCTTCCATAGGAAGCTGAATTATAAAGTTGAGTAATAGTTACTTTGAAGAAAGGAAAGAAAAAAGGAAAACTTAATACACACACACGTTTACGTAATCACAGAATAATTTCAAAGAATGGACCAGCAACTGCTAACTGATTACCTCAGGGGACAAAGGACTGGGTGGCTGAAGGACATGGGCATGAGGAATGTTTTTGTTTTTTGTTCGTTTGCATCCTTTGAAATTTGCCCAGTGTGCATGTATTATTTTTTTTAATGTTTGAGTTATTTCCTTGATCCCCTTATCAAAATTTAGACACGAAATTCGGAAGTTTAAGAAGTCTGAGTAGAATTCAGTAAACT